TAAGAAAACTGCCCCAGGGCCACTTTGTCCACCACAAATCCCACTTGACCAGCCCCCGGGATCGAACCCGGGCCGCCGCAGTGGGAAGCCAGCGACTAACCGCTTGAGCTATGGCGCGGCCCTAAAGTAGCTTACTGTACAGCATCATTAAATATTGGATGAACCAAAAAATAGCAAAAAAATAAAAATTTCCTTGTAACAGGCCGTGAAGGTCCATGGAGTTGTGAGATGTTGAGGATCCCACATTTTCTAGACAATCGGCTCACAGATAGCGGTGAGGTTGTCGGCCTTACTCGCCGGCAGCCCTTTACCCCCGGAATATTCCTGGTACTCATTTCTGTTAGAGGCTGAGTCTGCTCCAGGGCCATAGTGCGGTTGGAAATACACCTCATCGAGATTCGATCCCGCGACCTTCCAGCTTGTAGCATAGTGCCTCAACCAACTACGCTACCGCGTGCCCCAACCAAACAATAGAAGTGTCAAAATTAAAGCGTTTTACAATATTCTGAGTTTTTATTATCTTGCCTGAACAACGGACGTGGCTCGCAGTAAACAAAGAGTTGTGTTTCAGGGCATGGCGTCAATGCTGCATAACTCGTCCGTGTTCCTCAACTTCGGGCTAGCAGCTCTGGCGCGCTATCTGGACTCACAGCCGCTTCTGAACCTCACGGTGCACGAGTATCTGTGGGGATATGAAGACCCGCTGGTTCGCCTCGCAAGTACTGTGCTGCCTAACTGGATCCCCTTCTCGAGGCTCGGGCTTATGGATAGGGTGAGTTGCCTAAACAACGGTTTCATGTCGACCCGTCTGTCCGAAAATAAGGTCTAAACTACGAGTACTTGGCGGCCTGTCCCGAAGAAGCACAGCCTAACGGACGCACATTAAATTTTCATCACGTTATGGATCATTTCGCTGAAGGGTCTAGACATACTTTCACGTATACAAATATTGAGTCCTTATTTTAAACGAAATTTGAAATACGGAGTTTATTTGTTATGAATATTATCAAGCATAAATTTCACTTGCATAGTTCATCTAAAGCCGCACATAAATTGGGACTTAAGTTTACTTTTGGGAGTATTTCATGAGAAAAAGTTCCTTGAACAAGAGCAATAGCTATTGATAGAATGCAAATATTTACACATTGTACAATATTTGCACATCGCTCGCTTATTTAGAGAGAATCATTTCTGCGGTCGCTCAAAAATTTCCCTATATTTTATGGGACCCAAAGGTTCATTCTCTTGTTCACAAGAGCCCTCCACTTGTCCCTCTCCTGAATCAAATCAAATCAGTCCATAGCACTCCATTCTATCTCTCTAAGATCCATTTTAATATTGTTCGCCCACCTACGTCTTGGCCTTCCTAATGGTCTCTTTCCTTCTGGCTCTCACACCAATATCCTACATGCATTCCTCTTCGCACAAGGAAAACTTTAAGCTTTAATTTTAGCGGGTTTATTAAAGGGTGTTTTAATTTGATATTTAACCACGTGCATATGATTGTAGTTTCTGACGCGTTTGTGAACTCCCTCTCTCGGTGACCAATAGTAAACTTTCCGTTCCCATGCGGTGACAGATTCGAACAAGGCCATGGTATCAGCGTCCAAGTTTGATCTTGTTACCGCAGATGTTCGACGAGGGCGAGAACGTGGTAACCGTTGCTTTGAATAGCGCCCAGGCCGATGAGACCGAAGTGATGGAGAGGCGGCGGAGGGTCTACTCCTTTGACAGCTACAACGGGTGGACAACCTTGCGGCAGTGGACAGGGGGGACACACTGCAGCTCACTCAAAGGCGTCAGCGAGGGAGTACTGTACCCTAAGTATGTCTCTGTACAGGTATCTCTGTTTCACCGAGCCCAGACACTGTCTTAAGCGGAAACAAATCTACTTTTATGGGTGTAATATAGCAGTGGGGTTACTTCGCTGTTTCAGGAACATAACTGCATTATAACCAGATGCTCGAGCTCTGTCAGTATTGGTTCTCATGACCTTCTGCATCTGAACCATCCCTCTGTATCTATACGTAAACTTCTGCACCATTACCTTCCCTGCTTTCTCCCATACCCCTTCCCAGACACCCATATTATCGAATGATGAGTCGAGGTCGAATTTAACGCCATTTCTCGCGAATAATAGGCATAAAGAGTCAGTCGCAAACCGTCTCCTTTGTATAATATACTACACTTCACATATCCAAATAAAAATATCACTCTCTATTTTGGCATCCTGTTGCACATCTTTAATTAAACGTCCATGTATTAAGTCTGTCAATAATGCAACAATCATTAAATTATTTACCATTCAACACTAACATATCATGTTTCGGCCATAGACGGCCATCCTCAGGTGTTTCAATGTGTCCAAACTGTTACACTGCTTTGATGCGCGCTAAAATTGCGCGTTGCAGTCCACTAAAACATAAATAATTAATTAAAGTTCATTAACATTTTTCTATTAAATCTTTCGTAAAATCCTATTCCACCTCATAAGGGTCGTCGTCCACTTGTTTAAAGCTATGTGATACACGTATTCCAGAGAGTTTGTTTCAGCAGCTGTGTCTGTGTGCTGCAATATTCCCCTTGCTTGTGTGTTGTTCCCTCTAGCAGCGTGTGGTGTTGTCTTCACTAATGTCTTAGTACTTCAGATGCCTTTCCTTCGAAGTATGATTCACTTAGTTCCTTCATCACCCTTTGAATTCACAGTTACAACTGCCCTAACGTACTCTTTTGAGCTACACGAAGAACGAAAACACCGCATGTACAACCTTCTATCCAAGTAGTAATTGTCCCCGAATAAATGATTCTATGACTCAAGGTATGGGGCGTGCGGTAGCGTAATGGTTCAAGTCCCGACGAAGTGGATTTTTCAATTGACCAGCCGCATTATGGTCCTGGGGTCGACTCAGCCTCTAACGGAAATGATTACCAGAAATCTTCCTTGGGGTAAAGGACGGCCGATGCGTAAGGCTGACAACTTTACCCCCATCTGTGAGCGGATTATCTAGAAAATGTGGGACCCTCAACGTGTCACAACCCTATGGGCCTTCACGTCCTGTTATAGGGATAGGTTAACCTTTTACCCAAGGTATAGATGAAAATGTCCAAACGCCAGAACTGTTCCGGATGTTATGGCGGATAAAGGAAATGTCAATATTAGTAGACTCGACTCCAGAAAGTCAGGTTCAATCTGACGCATTATTATTAATGTCTTGAACCGGTGAGCTTGGTCTAAACTCTCTTGAAATGTATTCCACAGAGGACCAGGCACAAAACCGATGCTGTATCAATTACAGATAATAAGGAGTCCAGAATAATATAAACTCTGATGCGATTATGATGAGAAGAATTGGTAGTGTCTTAGGTGTCATCCTGACTGTTGTCAGAAGTGAATGGAATGGTTGTTTGTGACCATTAAAATCTGCATTATTTTGCTCTCTCCTGATTCTGGATAATTTTGTCGGTAATATTATTACTGATACTATTATGGGAAGATCTTAAGTCAGAGAGCTTAGACTGGGTATACTAAAATTTCCTTAAAATAGGTAAAGTTTTTCCCGGACTTAAATAATAAACACGGTACCGTGAAGAAGTGTATGATAGAGAAATAATATCCCCACCATTCATAACGTCGGTACTAGATGGAAGTGAGTGTTCAGATTCACGAATTTTCCGCTTAACCTCCAGAGAAACAGCCAACTCTATCCTTACACAGAAGATTGAGTAGACCCCAGAAATTATGCCTCTACCGGGAATAGAAACCAGACTATTCGGTTGTCTAATCCATAGCCTAGTCAATTTATCTAATGTCACTCGAATATTTCCTTAATTCATCAAGGAAAATGGTGTGAAGTGTCTACAATATGATACATGTATTTAAGCATCCTGTTACACTCTACACATTATATGACACAAACTCCGTCCTAAGTGGAACAATTTATTTGATTTTTAAAAACTGTCACTTTTAAATCTTCAATTCCAATTTAAAAATTTCTTTCAAATTTTTTCAAAATTTAAAATTTAAAATTCTCGTGGGTACCCGCCCTATATCTATAGTGCTGCAGCGGCTACTTCTTTTTTTTTCAGCACTGTTCAGGTATTACTCTGTGTAGGCTCCCTGTGTGCGTGCCGCTGCTTATCTTTAATACGTGTGCTCTCTGGTGCATTGTGTGCACACACTAGTGTTTTTTAAATTTTAAACTACGTGCAGTGTAGCAGCTACGTGAGAGTATACACCTGATGATGGCCATTTACGGCCGAAACATGTAGTGTAGAAGAAAGGAAGACGAAGAGCTACAATAAATTGTTGCACTTAGGACGGAGTTTATGTCATATATGGTGTTAAGTGGTGCAAAAGTAGGCCACAATCACGCCTATTCACCAATGTCGTGATTAATGAACATTGCATAACCTTTCATTCGACACTATTAGACCCGTGCAACTAATAAAGTGTCATTAAATGAAATCATGAAACAAAGGAACATAAGAAATTGAGAACCCACAGAATACAGATACAGCTGCGTGTAAGAGAGTAAGGCACTCGTGATGATAATGCTAATGAAACTTTCAAGACATTAAGTAGAAATGACACGTGGGGAAAACTGAACTGAGGGTCGACAAGTTTGACTTTCACTTTAAAGGCTTTACAAGCTGATTGTCTCATACAGTTGGGAAACAGGAGGAAGAGAGAGAAGAAAGGATATAACTCTCATCAATAATTTAATCTGATGGAAACTGAGGTTATTTTAAAAATGGTGACTCTATCGCTTGAATAACTGGGGTTTGATTCCCAGCTGGGATTTTCTCAATTATTCTCTCCACAACAGCCGTAGATTTAGCGAGTAACCCGCCTAGCATGAATTATAAGATGTTTGTTTCATGAGACTGTCTGCTTACTGAGTCCCTCCGGGTGAATGGCAGAACAATAACTTCAAATATTCTGCAAAAGCATCTTCTCTCTTTCCATCCAAATTTTCATTTGTATAATGATTCAAATGTTGAATAATCAGAGCAGCTGATATGGCGTCTTAAAAAGTATCGAGAAGTAGTGTTAATTTGGAACACGACGGCGCAGTAAGAGAAATAAATAAATAATATCATAGAAAGCAACTTAACATATTCTTTCCAGTTCCAAGTAAGTGTCAAATACTTTGAAGAAACTTTTTATGCCCAAACAAATGATTTTTCTTTTCTTAATTATTCAAATTTATTATATTTATTAAAGGGTGTATATAATGTAACAGATCTGATCAACACATTGTCAGGTAAGAGCTCTGTAAACATGGTCCAACATGCAACAATAGATGGGATGTGTTTTCTACGTGGTCCGTGCCACGGCTCTATAAGGAGAGCTGTGAGCTGTAAGTTCATTGCGATTTGGACCTAGGAGTACAAAGTGATCGAAGACAAAATGACTTCATAGTGATTTGAAGGGCTAGTTTCTGCGTTGAGATCCGTTGCCAAGAGACGACTAGTGAAGACGGAGAATCCTTGTGCGTGTACAACGGTGAACTGGAAAGTGAGTAAAACAGTGATAGCGCTCTATTTAAGTGCTTGTATCAAAGGTGATAATAAATCCAATAATCTGATTTAGAACCCGTTATTGTCGTCATGCGTACCTTCCTACACAGACCGCCCCTGTGGTCTAGTGGTCAGAGATTCTCGCTACAGATCCAGAGGTCCCCTGGTTCAATTCATGGCGCTACCAGATTTTCTGAGAAATAGTGGTTCTTGAACGGGGTCCATTCAGCCTCGTGAGAATAATTGAGGATATATTTCAAGGAAATAGCGGTTCCGGGCTAGAAACTCGAGATAAACGGCCATGGGGATCTGCTGCTTTCACCACGTGACACCCTCTATCGACAAAAGTTGGCACTAACTTCGCCGACAAGCGGCGGTCGCTAGGTCGGTATAGTTCTCTTGCGGACTACAGACCCTCTTACATGTTACGATAAATTACTGAACGCTGACTGAATAAAGACGAATGGGCAATGAATAATATGTAGCGGAACGGAAAATAAAAGAATGTGTAAAACCTTTTCTTTGAAAAACATCGCAAGAAGAAAGCACCAAGACGGATCTCAGAGAAATAATTTTTAGCAGGTAAGGTGAATTGATCTGGCTCAGGATAGAATCGTGTATCAAAATTTACTGGTTACTAAACATCAGCATTCCATAAAAGGAGAGCGTTCTTTTATAAGTTGAGTAACACTCGAATTGGTTATAACCACCACATAAGGTTAAATGCTTTTATTGGACAATCTACATTTTCGGCTTTATTACAGACCCATGACTTCAAACGATACCTTCTTGATCTACCGCAAGGCATTCTGCCGGTTTCTACCCGTGGTTTTCTCCCGGAGCGGTGTCACGAATGAGGGTTTCCCAGCCTACTGGTTCAATCTGCCTGACAACGTGTTCGACTCTCCGGACAAGAACCCGGACAACGCGTGCTACTGTCGCCCTGAAGTGGCGCCTTGCCTGCTGTCTGGCCTGGCAGACATAACTCCCTGCTACTACAGTAAGTTGACTTTCTGGAAGTGATAAGCTGGGATTTCGTTAG